GATATATATTTACAGTAATTTAAGATGTAACACGTGTGCGTCCTTTTACACAAACACCAAGTACTTCCCGGGATTCTTTCAACTACGAGGAAAAGAGCAGAATACCAGATTTATTCAAGAAAAAGCACTGAAATGTTATGTCATGAACCAGCTATTTGGACACTTTCCAGCTCACCAACCTGTCACTTTGGATAACTTCCATCTCCCTGTAGGCACTGGAGCACTTTTCAAGAGAAATTTCTCAGTTTTAAGTACACTTGTCTTTGCAAAGTAACACTGAAAAAAAATCCATTCTGATTTCTGTACTGTAGATACATGACTGAATTTATTAACTCCTGTCTTATCCCCCGATGGAAGCTGTTCACGCAAGGATTACCAATATATGCTCCAAAACAAATATTGACATAGAAATATTTTCTAATCCATGAAGCCTTTTGCTCCATAACAGCCAATGAAATGTATCATCTCTCAAAGGAGGTGGTTGAACTTCTATTTTTGTTAGAGTAGAATAAAAGAATTAAGTATCATAGTTCTGAAAACTATATTCAGAAATAAGATCATTTTATCTTTCAGTGCATCTTCACGTGGAATGGCATTGCATCGTCTCAAAGTGTAGCCAAGCCTTTTTTTATTCCTAAAACTTGCTTCACTTAGGCCACTTTGCTGCTGCAGTAAATATGACAGCATCTTCTCTACCCAGTCTCACCAACCTGAAGTAATTTACAAGTCTTGCTGTAATAGTACTCAGAGATAAAATCCTGTAATCTCTTTCATCATGGAAACATTCCTTTTCTGAAGTCAGAAGCTCACATCCCACCCTGTATTCCTTATCTGTGTTAAATCCTTTTCTCCATTCACCTTGATCCCATCTTAACGTGGTTCACAAAACCTGCCAGCAGGACTTGTAAAAAAGTTCACCCTTTCTCCTTAGGTCCTCATGTTGTAGGTGCCCAGGTGAGGTTCATTTCCAAACCCACTGCAGCAGGGAACAGTTGAGTAGTTCAATACAGGAACACACAGAGAACTCTTCTATGGCAGCGTACACAAGCAGAGCAGGAGATTCCGTGTACAGGCCAAAGCAAATAGGCAACAAAAGTGTACTACATAGGACAACCTGTGCACTGGTGTCAGGTGAAAAAGGAAGCTTGACTGCAGTGTCCATATTTACAGCCACTTTTGTTGGTTGAACATCAGAATTAAATGCCACCTTTTTCACAGGCAGACATGGCACCAAGTCCAGACCGAGAGATTGGTGGTGAAACAGCAACTGACCATACTGCATAGTTTGAAAATTCCCCATCGCTGGTTTGGACTTGGGAAGCCCAGGGACATTCATTAAATCAGTGGAGCAGAACCATGCTACACATACTGTAAAACCAAGTAACTGGATGTGGAATGGTTCAGGTAGCAAGAATAGCTGAGATGTTATTTTAGCTTGACCTGACAAATACCCAAATCCAGCTCCAACCCAAAAAAAACCCTAAAAATTACAAAACATCCTGCAACCTGAGACAAGGCAGGAAAATACACAGAGGAAAAACCTATTCAGATGCAATTGATCTTTTTTTTTCCTCATAAAATGACAATTTCAATTACATCTCTTCGTTTCCCCATATTCATTATCCCGGCAGTATGTACTGATATGTACTGATATTAAACTATATTTTAAAAATCTATCACTGATTAACTGAGTAGTGAAAATGAATAATGTTTCAAAAATACTCAGTAGACATTTTAGGACAAAAAAAACTATTCTGCAGTCCACCAGATTGTGATGAAATCATTTCTGGCCTTACTGAACTTAGAAGTTGGCAAAAAATAAGCTTCTCAGCTCCACTGAGGTTTCTTAAGTTATAAAAATCTCAAATGTGCATTACAGTCCATCCTAGAATGACTTGCTGTGATTGTTGCTGTAGAGTTAGCTTTGATTGAATACTGAACAAAGAAAATTCTGGCTAACAACATTAAGAACTTTGACACTCACAGAGCCATTAACCTATTGAATTTGTTTATACTTTTAGATTTTAAAGATTGCTTCCATGATGGATAAAGTATTTTTTTTTACCTAGCTTTAAGATTTGCATCTCAGAAGAAAAATAGGCACCAATCTGTCTCAGCATACTTTTCCCAATATTCACGTTTTAAAATCTATGCTCCATTTCTAAGAATTCAAAAACAAAATCTTGCGGTTAGAAACGGAGTTCCACTGTCGTTTGAGGTAGTAGATTTGCACCTTAGTCTTTTCCAGGCAATTCGTTTATTGCACACTGGAGCTAGGATAAATTTACGCTGAAGACTAATTTTCACCAATATGAAGTGTGTGTGCAAAGCATACAAAGAGTTTAAAAACCACGATCTGCTCTAACAGTATAAGCCAAGTGTAATAGAAAAGAATGTAATTATATTTATTAGTCAGATTCACATACTCAAGACATTGAAAAGAGGAGCATAAAATAGGCACCATTTAAAGTAACATGAACCTTCAAGCATCTCATGGACCACTTGATTCAACAACCAGTGAATGAAGAGACTGAGATGAATCCACAGTGCTAATAAAGCAAATCAACCAAGTCAGGAGGCATGTCCTAAGGAGTGATGAGCAGCTGCCAAGGGAAGGGATGGGGACAAAGAAGATGGATAGCTGGATGTGAGGTCATGGAAGCCTGGCACACATTAAATCCTACTACATTTCTCCTACCAAAACTGTTGATATTATTATTACTCCTACAAGACATAAACTGAAAATTGGCGCGTGCTTTTTGTTATGAGCGACACACATTACATTAATACATTGAAAGCATTTTTGTAAAATAGATGCTTAGAACTTTTCATACTCGGTCAATGTGAAACAATGAGCAAACCAAGACCAGGAAACGGTTGCACCAAAAAAGAATGGAGAACGATAACCCAGGCAAGGGAAAATGTTATTTAAACTTAGTCGCTGGCAACTGATTTGTTAATCTGAACACAGACACCTATAACTCGGTGAAAGCACTAGTTTGGCTTTTCAGTCCAAGTAGTAGAGCATTCCTCCCTATACACTTTTCACCTTGTTTTAATAATTTGTTTGACTTTGATTACAACAATTCACAGGAATCCCAGACTAGCGAATGCCAAGGTGGCTGAAAATCACACAGAATTAAAATAGCAATTTGCAAATGAAGAATGCGGGAATCCAGCTCAAATGCCTCTATAGCCAAAGCAGACAGCTCTCCTAAAGCCCTTAAGGGCTTTTTACTTGTAGTCAAAATACAAAGGATTAGATTTCTAAAGCCTCTTTCCAAAGGTAATTAGGCAAGTATAACTTTTAAAGCAGTCCATCTGCCTGGAGCACAGCAGCTGTGATGGGAAATGGAGAATGCTACTGCAGTATTTGGATACATTCTCAAACAAAACTGCAAAAAAGCCTCCAGTAATTAGTGGACAATATGAGAATTCAGAACTTGGCACTGGAACTCTATCTGCAGGAACACTTTGACTTGTTTATTGTGTATACTTGTTTCCACTGAACAGGCAGTGCAGTGAGCTAAGCGACCTAATGCTAGCATATCCTGAAAGTAAAATCTGTTATTAATGTGCGTATTTGTTTCCTCAATATCTCACACAACATTTCTCTCTGTCGTGAAATCTTTCAATGCTCACTTTCTTCTCAAACTTAATAATAGAATAATATCACATAATTACTTTAATTACATCACATTGCCTGAATGGTACAGGAGGCTACAGAACAGTTTGCTGTATTCTGGAACAGATCTCACCCACTGCACCTATCTCATCGATTCTTGCAAATTAAATATGGTAAAGTTTCTGCAGTGCTTCAACAAAAGATACACTAAGGCAACAGAAGTAACAAGGCTGATAACAGAATCAGGGAAGAGGATCACTGGGAAATTGACACTATGCTGGGAATTTAGCTGCAGTGTTAAAAATCACTGCAAACCTAAAAGCACACTAGGCTTGGTTATTCAGAATCCCATAGAATATTTCCTCTATTCTGCATAAATGCCTCCTCTTTGCCCTATTCTGTTCTAGCAGCTGATTTCAGATTTAGCATTCCTTATTAAAAATACAGGAAGCATATTTCACACACAGGTACATCTCATGGGTGAGTTGTGAAATTCAGGACTTAAAAGCTGCTACTATTCATTGTAGATACCAAGCTTTAGTTCCAACTATTCTGGAATGATCTGGGTAGGAGAATGAGTACTGATCACAAAGAGAAAACCACCCCTCTGAATGTTTTGTATCAATCTTTAGTATTTTGTATTTCATATGAGGATAACTTGAGGCACTTCAACATTACGAAACATTTTTAAGTTTCTGTACACGTATCTCACTACCAAAGATACAAAATCAATGGAGATGGCAATTTTGAGGAGACAGCATAAGAAATTTATCATATTTGGCACTTTGTTCATCTACAACTATTGTTACTTTCAGGAAACATTTCCCGCTGTTCCGCACTTGCTGGTTCTTCAGACTGGACAGCTCTCCTGGTGCCAAAGTATTTACAGAAATTCCCCAAGTGAAACAGTCCCTTGGATGTGACTGGCCCTGTATTTGCACAAACTGAAGTAACAGCTACACAACGATAACTTCCCCCACGGAAACCCACTGGATGCTGCATTTTTACCTGGTCAGAATTGATTACAGTTTGCTTAGCTGTTTGGGAAGATTAGTTTCATTTGCACCTTTAAAAAGATGGCTGAAGAAGAAAAACTCTCTCTAAAGAAAGCAATTCAGTTTGGCATTAATGGGTATATTTCATTAGGAAAACTATGCATCAGAAATGAAAATACACCCAAAAGTTATAATGCTTGTTGTTTCAACAACATGCAAATAAAGCACATGTGACTGGTCCATCATAAAAAAAGGCTGGATCACCAATGGAGAACTGACTGTCACACAAGAGCCATCAGGAAAGCCATAGACTCCACCTTACCTTTAAATCGTCTAACTGTAAGCATAACAGCCTATGTAATTTTGTAATCTGAAGATTTCTGCACTCCCTTGCTACAAGAAATCTTTCCTTAAATATGGTATAGAATTTCTTTATTTTAGTATTTGGTCAATTAAATTTGAAAGGGCATTCCTAAAGAGAGAATGTCAGTTAAAAGCACACATAACAAGAAGAATGAACAGCTTAGCTTCTTCAAGAGCAAAGTATTCATTTGCACCTTAGGAACAATCTTAATATTCAGTTCAAATGACAAATGAAATGGGTCGCAAAGAAACACGTTACTTACAGACTTTAAATTGTGATTCAATGGCCCAGCAAAACATGAGAATGCGCCCAGTGCTCCTGAAAAGGAACAGTCTGGATTCAGCTGATTTTATAAGGCAGCCACAGCACCGCAGGAGCAAATCTCAGCAGGTTCGATTCAAGGATGATGGTGTGAACACAAAGAACGAGCTGGATCCTAACCCTGCCCAACATATAGCATTCATGGCTGGAAAACCAGAAATATTTCCTGATCACAGTTTTTTGCTACATCGATCTCCATCTGCTGCAAGGGCTCAGAAGGGGCTTCAGAATATTGCCATACAAACATCTCCCAGCCTCAGGAAACACTTCCCAGTTTTTAAAAGAAAAAAGCTGACCGTCAGCAAATCACTAACGGAGATGCCAAGTGAGCCTGCAAACTCTGTCCAGGTGAACGGCAACCTTTCTGATCAAGACATGATGTCTTCAGATCTCTGTTACTTAAGAATAACTAATCATTTGGAAGATGGGTTTAAGGAGAGTGAGGTGGATGGTCAGTTAAGTCAAAGGCCATCAAAAGCACAAAGCAATGGACCTATCCAGACTGACAGTTTCTCAGGATCAGAGAAGACAACTGTTTCTACACAGATGCCTGAATACATACATGTGAGTTTTCCAAAAGACAGCAATGTTTCCATGGATGCACCAGACACAACCACGAATTTAAGTAATTCACTGCATTCTTCTTCTGTCATAAATATCAATGGAAATAATGACAGCAGCACGCTGCTGTCTAATTCTGGAAAAGCATACCCTTGCCTACTCAATTCCAGTAACTGCAGTGAATACAATGCTCATGCTGAGTCCTGTGAAGCAAATAGAAGTGATTCGGAGTCACTTGTAGCCAGCAAAGATGAAAGCAGTAAGGAACCTGCTCCATTCCCATCTCCATCACATCACAATTCATCTTGTTTCCTCAGAGACTGTCAACAGACAGGAGAGCACAAAGCAGATTCCAGCTGTGTGACATTAACAAACGATGGTCACACAATAATCTCAGTGACCAGCAGTAATGCGTCAAAATCTATTCTGACATGTAGTTCTGAAATGGAGAACAATTCTACCCAGCCAGCTGTTTCCCAGTGTAACAGCTGTTTAGAAGGATTTCACATAAAGTCTTATCTGCCAAGGAATGAAATAAACCCACAAACCAACAAAGAGATTAGCGGACTCAATCAAATCCATTTGGCACACGGTGAACTCTGTGCCCTCCAAGGCAGGCTGCAGTCTGTAGAGGAATCTTTGCAGTCCAACCAGGAGAAGATTAAAGTCCTTCTGAATGTAATCCAAGACCTGGAAAAATCCAGAGCCCTCAGTGAAGGGTATGGTGCATTTTAATATCAGTAATTCAGCAGTAGTGTATAGTAGATGCTAGCATTCTTGCAACCTTTGCTCCTGAAAAACCCTTTCCCGAAATATTTAGAGATGAGTTTGCAAAATGGTATCTTACACCCTTTTCCTGGCGTTTGTACCTCAGCAGAGAAGAAAGTCTCTTGAAAATTTGCCTTTAGCTGATACTGCCTTTACTAAACCCAGTGTAAGACATGTTTTATTAACTCCCTGTTTTATTTAGATTCGTGGTGTCACATACAAAATCACTGACACCTGAGATCCAGCTAAAACCTGTATGCAGAACAAAACCCTACAGGCTAATGTAGTATAATAGAAATCTTTAGCAAGAAAACTACCTCTTATTAGCAAGATCAGATATGCATTTAGTGCCAAAGCAGTCCTACAGCTGAAAGGGTTTCTATCAGCAAAACTCTCCTTCTGTGCAACACATTACTACTGCCTTCATAAGCAAGTAAAAGGATTAGCAGCTAAAGCCCAGCATCTGCAGACAGTTGGGACCCCCCCCAACACTGCTAGTTGTATGTCATGACACCACAGGTGCTTAAAGGGCATGCCTTGAAAACAGGCACAGGTAAACTTCAAGGGCTCCAGAATGTCAGGAACATTTCATGGGAGATGGAGGTAGGTGCTTAAAAGGGATTAAAACTATGAACATAGAGCGTGTGGAGATAGGTAGCAAGAGCTCGCTTTGGAATCTCAGGTGTCAATGGCTGCTTTCTGCACTGTCATGAGATGTTGTGACCTATTATTTATTTTTAGCCTGTTCTCATAGTGACTATAGCCAAGGCAGCCAGCATTATTTATGTAACTTAATCATGCAACTGATTTGTGCATCAGAAATAATACTACTACTATAAATGCAAATAATTGCTAAAGATTGGACACCTTGATAGAACAATGTTAAAATAGAATTTAAAATATATCTACGCTCAATACAGGTTTTAGAATATCCTAATAATGTTTTCCAAACCATGAAGAGCAGCTCCTACTTAGAGTAAATACAGCTAGGATACATTTTAAAGTTCTGTTTTATGATAACGTAGTTTATCCATCAAATACTTCTTGCCTTTGAAAAAATCCCAGATAAATCTGTCAAAGTATTGAGAGAACAAAGGTTCCATTTTACTTTATTCTGTAAAGATAAAACAATGTTAAATCTATGTCATCATTTACTCAGGCAGCTCAGGCATCTAAAGTAATCATTATGCACCACTGGTCCGAGTGCAAAACTGCATCCTTAAAATCAGATCATGTGCATCAATAGTATTTACTGGCTGCAGTTAAGGAGTAAATCTGACAGTGCAGCGTTCTTGTGGTTTCTGCAAAGTGTACTGAAATGTGAGACATGGAGATTTTGGGGTAGATTCATTTGCACAGAAATAGCACAGAACATGACAGTGACTTGCTCCTGTGACCCAGCCCCACGTCTTTGCACTTGCTCCCATGTGGACAGGAAAGGGTTGTGTGGCTGTGCAGAGACTGTCAGGACAGAACTAATCGAAGCCACGATTTTATATGCCCCAATTTTTTAACAGCTTCTGAAGAAAAGCAAATCCATTTTGAAGGTTTTTTTATTTTCTCCAAGTATTTTATCTGGGAATTGAAATGACCTCCTTGCAGTTTCTGATGGCTTACACTCATTAAAATAATTAACACACTATATATCACGTTAACATGTGATTTTACTCTGTACAGAGTACCTTTTTTTTCTGGAAACATTAACCATTTATGTCCACCTGACTGTTAAGGTGAAAATATTTCTGTTAGCTTTTTGTGACTTCATATATTTTTACTCCATGTAGCATTTCCCCATATAATGCAGCTCCAGCTATCCTTTTTCAGAGGATTGTGCTTAGTCATTTTTCTCTATCTGAAAAGCCCATACAATTTTCTAGTTCCAACTTTGTACAAACCTAGACACAGCAGACAAACCCCATGTAAACACACTGATAGCAAATAGGCAAAACCATTTGTAAAACACCAAAACCCAAAAGTTCAGTTTAGAAGCAAGATTCAAGGCAGGGGGTGGAAAGAAAAACCCGTGTGTCAACCTTAAACAATCACTTGTCTATAGTGTATTTCATACAACTAAAACCCAACTACAGTTCTGCAGGAAATTACAGGAAAAATGCCCCCTCCTTGTCCCCTGCATGTATTTATGTCTGACAGAGGACGATTTTCAATGATGTTTGAAAATCTGAGCATTACAAAGAGTAACTTGAAGTGAAGCTAGCTCAGATGACCCAGTAATATTTACAGTCCATTTCTGCTCATTTCCCATGTGGCTAAAACCAAAGGTTTTGCCCAATACCGGTCAGTGTCACATTAAGTTTCAATGATAAGCTTCAACCAATGCTGCTAGAATCATCTAGCAGTAAAACTGAACATCCCAAGTACTTGTGGAGGTAGTACAATAACACATGTGAAGAACCTCCACTTTAGGTCCAAAAGCAATCAGAAAATTATGTTGGTACAAACTGAACTCCTGTAATTCAAATAAAGCTCGTTCAAAGTGTTCTGCATCCTTCACATGTAATGAGCCACCGAGCTCAAGCTGCTTCTGCATGTCCATCATAAACATAATTGAACTGTAGTTGGTGTGAAGTATGAAAGTCACTTTATTTGTTTTCTCAACACTCCAAATTCAAACACTCTCAGCAGGAAAAGCCTGACTTGGTTACCTCAAGTGAGGAAACATGAAAAAGGGAAAGAATGGAAAGCATAAGGGAGAAATCAGATCAAGTCACCAAAAGCATGGATATTCAAATACCTTAAAGTATTTACAGGAAGCAGTTGCATGTCTAAGCGTTTTCACAAGTATTCATTCAAGAACCACCAACCAGAATCTTAGCATGAGGTGAGAAAGAAAGATTCAGTGATCTGTTAATGTAGGTGTAAATACACGACATGAACTACTGTCTGTTACAGGCGTAACTTCTATCACACTGGTCAAGACCTCAACAACTGCAGCACCTGCCAGAACACCGCATGTATCATTTACAGGTACCCAACTCCTTTGTGTCAGTTTGTGTTGTCTGGATACTTCACAGATGTATAATAGAATGCTTTGCCTACAGCTAGAAAATATCTCAATTATTCTAAACCTGGTTTTTAACAAAAGACCAAGTGATATGAGTGAGGTGGTTTTGTTTTCCCACGTAGAAAACAATGCTGGTCTTATTTGAAAGACGTACGTCTGAGAACTCAAACAAATTTCTCAGTAATGTTTCCCAGCATTGTTATTATCAGGATGCTTTTAAAAACCTCGATGCCATTTCTGACGATGAAGTTCTCCGTGTGTGCGACATTCTTAAAGCGAGGATTTCAGTAACAATTGTAAATCTTGGAAAAGACAAACAACTCAGTCTCCAATGCCAGTAAGCTACAGCTCATGTTTACATACAAACCAACACCAAACTCCCACGCTTCCCACTGCTCTAGATGTTTATTTGCAATTGTTTTGAGGGAGTGCAACCCGAGTGTAAGTTACTCCAGATTTAAACTGCAGTTTACATTAAACTCTTATGACCAAAACCCTTGGTAGTCCTGTGTTCTGGGAGCCGTATGTGCTTTGAATGCTCCATCTATACAGACACACTGCAGGAGTCCCCAGCTTGCCAGGCATCAGCAGGTACAAACCCTTAGTTATACCACATACTCAGCTTGTGCATTTTATAGGGTTTCTGCCAACCTAGAAACACATTATCCAATCTCTGCAACCTCAGTCGTGAGGCAGAAAACACACATCTTCAGTTATTTGATTACATTTACAAAAATAAAGGGTAAGAGAACTCTTCTTTTAGGTTGAAAACTTTTCCTTTGGTTCAAAGAACATGACAGAACTTTAGCTTTGCCAGTTTGCAATTTTTATGGATGTAATGAATAAGTTATATCCACATGGAAGAGTTTTTCACACTGTATTTTCTACATGAGCCAATTTTTTTAAAGTGCTTTGTAAGCTTGTTAGATAAAGTGAAGCTTGGACACAGCTTTGGAACCTGTTGCTAACATACAGCTCAGCCGAGTACCAATGCCCTAAACCTCTGGTAACAAAACCACAAAGTAATTGTCATGTCACAAATTGAACACCTCAGCTCCTCTGAGACAAAGGGGTTAGTCTTCTCCACAGCCCTCCAGATGCTTCAGGAGGTTACATGATTTATCCAATGGCACAGACTGGATCTGTGTAACAAGGGAGATCCAGGAGAAAACAGATTTTCTTGTTCATCGTCTTCGAACAATCTCTGTGCATTTTTATTTGGCTGTACAGGAACAGAGGTGACTACAGAATTTATGTACCAGCTACCCGTTAACTGCTTTCTCCCTTCAGAACAAAAAACTATGATGGGTCCCTTCCATTTTTAATTTACACGGTTTCAATACAGGAAAGACCCTGAGCAACAAGCACAAGAACCTGAACTAAAGAACAGGGGAAGCAGCAAAACACTGATGTGCATTTTTGGTCATTAGGTAGTTTGCAATGATAATGGTGCCTGGGGGCTTACAGTGCAATGATTAATAGAACACATACAAGAGAACATAGCCCTTCTAAAAAGTTTCTAGCTTTAAGAGGCAAAACCAGAGAGAGCAAGGAAACATGATAGTTTTCACTTTGCAGAGATGTTCCACAGACACGGTCATGAATATTCATTAGACAATATTCTGAAACAACTAATTGTTACCAGGTTTTGCTCTAGACAAACCCATACAATCCCTATGTTTTATGAAGCCAAAAAGAGCCGTGTAAGCATTTCTTTCTTTCTACTAACATAGCATCCCTGTTGGCATTAATTATTGAACCAGGTGCTTCGTCTTGCCCTCTGTTTTTTTGTTAATGTCACTGAAGCATCTTTATCACGCTCATTCTAAGCAGTCCCTGTGTCAAGCAACACACTAATTTCATATCAATCCAAGCGTGGATTACACCGATAGCTAAAGTAATAAAAGGCTTTTCGGGTGGATTACACTGATAGATAAAGTAATAAAAGGCTTTTCAGGTACATAGAATAGTGGCTGTAAATTCAGCTTTATTAACTATCCAGCAGGATTATGTGACATTACTTGGGACTTTGTGCCTAGATCCTGCAAGGCAAATGTTTACACTACAACGAACAAATGCAATTAGCGACTGAAACCACTGTTACCATGGAGTGTAAGAGACAGTATTAAACAAGACTGAACTGACCTCTTGCCTCTAGAGATGATCTCTCCAACAGTAAATTAGAAACACTGAAGAAGGGAATTGAAAAAAGAACACACGTATGCTATAAGCTGAACATTTCATTGTCCAGCATGTGATCTGGACTACTGAAAATTAAGTGCAGTTTCTTGCAATAGTCAGATAAAATTCAAGAGACACTGATCAAATGTTTCATTTATATCAGCTTCTTCTGTTTACTACATATAGCTCTTTGTCCTGGGATCACTCTCCAGTTCTAAATTGGAATAGTCCTATTGCTTTCCTTTCACAAGCTACGTTATTTTACTAAACACTCCAAACCACCTTAATTATAGGGGAAACAAGCTTCTTGTTCATTTTAACATATTACTCAACAATGTTTATGGATTTCTATATACATACAAATACACACAATTAATAGGGTTTCAAGTTATGCGTATTTGCGAATTTTACACATTTCTTGTACTCGGTGCCCAAATGAGGCTCATGGCTTTATTGTGGTATCTCTATATCCTTCTGATGATACCTTATTCCTCCCAAGGAGCTTGCATTATGGAAATCACAACCAGCTCCCTTTAACTCTCCCCTCTGCCTGCTAAAACCTCCACGGCAAGCAGGGTTTATACATCTCCCACTCTCCTGTCTACAAAAGGTGGTTGCAATAAAGGAAAGTCATACAGCACCAGTACAGCTGCTGGTTGCACGAGACAGGCTTAATCACTATCCGCATAGATTTGAACCTTACTTGAACCTCCTTGCACAGATCTGCTCTTCTGTAATAGACTTCTTGGCTCCCATTTGACATCAACAGTAATTATGGGTTTCAGTGGAGAAAGTGAGTTACACTCAACTTTTCTGTTAATTCATAGCACTTATTTCAAAGACTTACATATTAACTTAGTTTCACATATTTTTGGTCCTAGCGGAGACATTCCCCTTTAAAGCACTTGAGATTCCTGAATTCACACTAAGCCTATGACTGAGTTAGATTACACTATCAAAACCTGACCATGGAAAGGTCATCTTAATACATTTTCATTTTTAACTCCCTTAAGTTTTGTCCCATTTCATGGGCACAGTGTTGGAGTCCTTAACTCATAGAAAGAAAAAGGTTTCTCTTAGAAAAATTAAGAGATGAACTACTTCTCAAAGCATCAACCTATGCACTTTGTGTTTTAACCAGGGTCTAATACTGAATAGTGCCAAATTATTCTCATCCTTTCCACATCTATTTTACTGAGGGAATTTCTCACTTGCTACCTCAAATGTCTTCATTTTTCCATAGTGTAGAATATGACTTCAGACAACAAGAAGGAAGATTTCATCAGATTTTGAAAACGCTGGATCAGGCAGAGCAAACTCCAGCTCCAGCTTCACCTCAGAAGCTGCCATCTGATCATCCAGCTCCAGAGAAAAAGGAGTTGAGAAGAAAACCAAAAAAGGTGAAAAGAAAATGCTTCTGGTGGATTTGACTTCCTTAGGAAACCTTCTACGTTTCAAAAAACACTAAACCCGAAGAGGTTGGAGAGCACACACCTGAAAAACTGCTATTCCAACATCACAAAGATGAAGAATGTTTAATCAGAGTATCGGAAAAATCAAAAGAATCAAATTTACTTAAATCACCTCACTCAGTAAAGGTGCATGAGGATACTATTTTCAAAAAGAAACTGTTTCTTTCAAAAGGAAGCTTTCTCATTTTTTTCCAAGGACACTTTCATACGCTTTGTAAAGAATTTCTTTCCAACTTTACAAAAAATAACTATCTCTACTTTAAAACACAACGGTAGGCAAAACTAAGGGCCTCACAGAGTCTTTGTTTCCTATAAGCAACATGCGTTAAGAGGAAACAACTTCATTGACCTTTAAACAAATCACATAATCAAGAACAAATTCAGGGGAACCTATGTTGTTCAAAAAATCCCTCCTCAAAGGAGACAAGTATTTCACATCCCCACTCTTTTGTTGTTGTTGTTGTTGTTATCAGCTAATACTTAACAACAGAAGAAGACTTTCAGGCTTGGTTTTACTCCCTCCTTTCACTGGTTCAGCTTAAAAAGCAATCATTTAGATGATTCAGTGACTACTCTGAAAAGAATGAGAATCATAACTCAGTCATTCTAGGTTTAACCCCCTTACTCAAGCAAGGTCTAATCAGGTGAATTTGAGTTCTGAGGATCTCCAAAGACAAAAAAACATAACCTCCTGGGGAAAACTGCTGCCATTTTTTTCCCCCCTAACATCTAATCTCTATATTTTGGGCTCTAAAACTTGTGTCCGTTACTTGTTTCCCATTCAATTTTATTTTTAAGAGGAAGTAGACAGATAATAAAACCTCTTTCCTAAGCCTTTACTTCAAGTCTGAACATATCCAGTTTTCACTGCCTCTCTTCACATGTTATGTGCTGCATCCCACAGTCATCTTGGCGGTTTCTCTCCAGTAAGTTGGTGAATTTCATCTACTTGGAAGCCTACAACAGGACACAATGCCTCAGATGTCATCATGCAATGGAGTGAGGAGTATAACCAGTCTGGCTACTGTCTTGCTAAACCACTTGCCCAATTTGTCTATCACCTACCTGTACCACTGCACCAAAAGACATGTTTTTTTTTGGCCTTAAGATATAAATAAGTTAATATATTTAATGAACTAATCTGCATTTTATAAAAAAAAAAAATAAGTGCTATAAAGATTTCATCTGATGTCAATGGAGCTATCTCCTTCCTTCAGAAACAGCAGAGTTACCAGTTAGCACAGAGTATGCCAATGTAATCTACTTTAGGGCTGATGAGACTATTTTCCTCATGAAAACACAGATATCTTTCATATGGGGGGGGGGGAAGAAAGGAGCAGGTTTTCCAAAAGGGCACACTGTAAAGCCCAAATGATGTATTTTATGTTTAGTGGAATGTCCTGCAGACCTTTTCTTGGATGTGACTCTGGTTAATCAGTTCAAACGGTGCCAGGGTGTTCCACAGATTAACTCCTGGATCCTATTTTTCTAAATCATGCTGTATGAATTGTACAATGTTAGTTAAAGATGTCTGTATGCTTTTTGCACACTTCTGTTTCCTTGAATTCTTAGGGTTAATTACACATTTGAAAACACATTAAAACCAATTTTGCACAGAATGTTGTCTGAAGAACTAAGTTTTTTGCTAGAACTAGTGGTGTTCATGTAGAAGAGTGCATGCAAAGTGACGTGGCTTAATTTATTACACTTGGACAGGACTGACAGTGTTAAAAAACATTTCCATGCTGAGTTCAGTCAGTGCAGAAACGACAGGCATAAAATTATCATTATTTTAGAGGCTTTTCAGAAGAAAAATCTTCTACGAATTTTTACGAGCAAAAAAGGCTGCCTTTAGCAAGACAGAAAACCTCTTCAATAACAAAGGTGAGAATTAAATTATTAAATCAAAACATCTTATATTACACTCAAATACATGTACTGCTTATGCTGGCATGCCAAGAACATTCCTATGTTGCACTGGTCTATAATGAGACAATGAAGGATTTACTAGGGTGTAAATGTTTCTTATGTACTATAATAACATTTTAATATTAATATCCTCTGTAAAGGTAAAGGTATCATCATAAGCAATACCAACAGGCATAACACTAGCAAAATCAGCAAGTCTTCTGCAGTGAACTGATCTTTTGGGCTACAACCAGACTTCACACGTAACACACACAACATGCTTTCTACATGAAACTTCAGAGGCAACACTAGAGCAAAAGGCTATATGTTACATTGAAAGGGAAGAGTGGGAATGTGTAAGTCAGGGTACGCATCAGCCACAGCAAGAGGGGAAGACTGCAGAGTTGCTATCTGTTTTGTTTAGGCTCGTTCAACATAGAAATCTGTATATCCTAGCAACGCAAAACACCTACGATTAAACAGCTTTGTAACACCTAATGGGAGAATCTGAGCTATGTCAAGATTTCATATGTAAGCACTGGGGGTTATTTTTATTGTTTAATATTTTTTAAAGTTTTTGGTATTATTAATTCATATAGGAAATCTAAAAATTACCAGACACACTATGCAATTTATGATGTTGGGCTTGGAAAAGCAATAGGAATTAGTAGATTATTGGAAGAGAATGGTACTGGCTATAAAAATCTCTCATTTACAAAACTAAGATGTAATGCCTAGACCAGTTCTCAGAGTAGAAAACAGATGCTGGATATACATACAAACGCAGTCTTAAATAAAACCTAAAAACACACACAGACAAAAAGAACCCAACAGCAAACCACAGCTGACAGCACTTGCATACAAAATATTGAAGCCTTCTCTGAAAGACACATTTCAATGACAGCTACAATACATTAGTGCTAAAAAGCTGCACGGAACATGGCACATTCCAGAATGACTGTATTGGAAATTGCTGTTTACTGGAGTCAAACTCAATTAAGGAATTCAGACTGTATGAATAAAATACTGATTTCTCTCTGTCATAAAACAGCAGTTCAAGTAGGGCTTTTATAGTTTTGTGTACTTTGAGCTCTTTCCAAAAAAGCAACAATACTGAGTAATTCTAATAGCTTAGATACCAAACATCTTCCTAAGGAAATGTATTGTCTAATGTATGTTTTGTAAATTTCTAGGTTCTTGAAATGTGGTGTTATCTTTTGCAATAAAATGAGATATTTTTCCTGGGTTTCAGGAGTCAGTTAATAACAAACAGCATTTGGATTACAAAGGAAATGAACAATTGTCCTTTAGAAAAGGAAAACAAAAGGTAAATAAGCAAACAGGTCCCTCAACTTCTCTAGGTAGAGAAAGGATTACAATATGAATGCTGAACATAAAAGCTGTAACTCTTAGGTAGACCATCATCTTCTCCAAGTACCGCAGCTCTGCCCAATGCTTTCTCAGGCCATTATTCCCCCAGTGAGTATTGCCTTTTGCACCAATATGCTATCTAGAGTAGCCCCGGTTAACAGAGCACTCTGTTTTCTTTTCAGCAAAATCTTTTATGGCACAGTAACTTACACAAATATTGCCTAAAACCTTTTCTGTGCAGCAGAACTGCAGCCTTTCCATCATGCTGAAATGATATGGTGAACAAAGTCAAGAACATATGCTGTATTCATGGTATTTTTATCTACCTAACCAAGCCAATACTGAAGACAAGTATTTCTGTATTCTAGATATGTTTTCCTGCTATAATCACTGCAGTCAGACTTAATCTACTGCATCACAGCACCCTTTAAACAAAAGTCTAAAGTTCATCAAGCACTTAAGGTAAAGCTTGAAGAGCCAATTTCAGACAATGAACTTGTCCCTTTGTTACAAGTTTAGACGCACTTGTAGAACTAAACAGCCAAGGCTTTTTTTTTAATACTGAAAATAACCAAGCTGCTGTTAAAGCTTTCAATTGCCAAACATCACAACAAAGTCAAGACTGGCATCTAAGTCTTCTCTGCAGTAGTTGCAGAGACACAAACTACTTTTGCATCACCAGCACCTTCTCCTGACGGGATTATCTCCTCCGAGCCTGACTTTTTCCAGTAATTACATGCCCGAGTTTACAGCATGCCATTACCAGCTGAACACATTGCAGCACTTTCCCTTAATTCAACTGGCATTGTAGCGAGAAAAAATAAAGGAAACTGTAACCCCAAATCCTTTTCACTCCCTCTCAGCCAATAACCAAGAGCGCTGTGAAAAGGACACCTGAATTTGAAAATTAACCTGCTTAACCCTGCCAGAAAGCAAAACCACTCAGATAAAGGCAACAATCCAGTACCCAATCGCATGCAAGGTCTTGTAAATAGCAACGTTTTATTAGTATAACATGGTATTAGAGTATCATCATCCTTCTCCAGAAACAGAGCAAGGAACAGAGCTGTTTCATAGCAACTCCAACCCACCAAAAAGTAAAGCATGTGGAAAAAATGGGAGAAACACAGCATGCCCCCGTTATTTATGTAAACTGTTCAGAATAACCTATTTTATAGTTTTACTTCCCCTTCAGATTACTGGAAACATTATTTTCAGTGTGTTAAAGTGTGCACTTTATGTAAGCTTGTGAAACAGCCTTCTTTTTGCAAACAAATAACTTGAGTTTTATTGTCTGGGGTTTTTCTTTTTAAGAAATGCACAAATCTCCCAGTATCCAACTACAGCAAATGAAACAAGAGAAAAGCTTTAGCCCTTTCATTTTAAATCTAAAAGGTCCTCAAACAAGGACCCCACAAATACTATATTTGCCTTTTTTTTTTTTCCCCAAGAGGGGTATCAAATCACTTGCAAAGCATTAAAAATATATTAAAACATTACTCACGATTAAGGGATCATCTCGTCCCATTGCAATAACAGTTCTGTTCACTGTGCGCAATAACTGCACCATTATTTCCTGAATGTGCTTATAAGTTGATGCCTGTTAACAAAAGATAACAGTTTTGATATTAAATCTGTATGCCTTGTAAAAGAAAGAGAGACCAATTATTTGCATGCTGACAGTTCAAGTTGTAGAACATAACCATCCTATTAAAAGAACACTAATTCTTCTTGCTCACAATGTTCCTTAGTTCCAGCAATTTCAGCGGAATACTCATTTCAAGTAGTGCAGCCCAATTTTAGCCCTATCTTACCACAACTGTTTTTCATTATAAACAGTCACTTCCTACCCCTCACTCAAGGGTCTCATGTTTTCCCAGTCACTGAGCAGCCTGTAACTGAACAGCGACTCCCTGGTAAGAGAAAATGGAAGCAAACTCTACCATAGTCCTCCACATCGGTCAATGGGCCTCAGGGGGGTCTGAAGCTCAGTAATA